GGCAATGGTTATTCCCCTTAATCGCGAAGAATCATTCCAAAAAAATAAATGTCTAGTGACCATCCGCTTGTTTTTTAATCCAAGCTTTAAATTGGTTTAGTTTCACAATGCTGAAGACGCCAAACGAGCAATGGAACAGCTGAACGGTTTTGAATTGGCCGGCAGACCAATCAAGGTCGGCCATGTGACGGAGCATCAACCTTCTCTTCTGCAACCGTCGCTCGATTCCGATGAACTAGACCGAACCGGCATTGATCTAGGCACAACTGGTCGTTTGCAGCTAATGGCTAAGCTTGCCGAAGGCATGTTCTTTTACATATTAGCGCTGGTAGCTATTTCCTTTTAAACTGTTTTTCTGTTTTCAAGGAACCGGCATGGAATTACCACAGGTCGCACAGCAAATTTTAAATCAACCAAGCGGTGCCGGTTCTTCCACTGGTACCTCCACTTCGTCATCATCAATTCCACCGATTGCCACTCAATGCTTTATGCTTTCGAACATGTTTGATCCTACACAGTCAGTTGTTCTGTTGTGATGTTTGCACCTGTTGAGCTTATTTTGGCAATTTTTAGGGAAACCGAACCGAATTGGGACCGCGATATCATGGACGACGTAATTGAGGAATGTAATAAAGAAGGTGGCACCGTTCATATTTTCGTTGACAGGGCATCTCCGCAGGGTAATGTTTATGTGAAATGCCCGTCTGTCACTTCCGCTGTCGCAGCTGTCAATTCCCTCCACGGTCGTTGGTTTGCAGGTAACGTTCTGCTCTTTCTTAAAATGATCGTAAATCATTTACTTAACGACCCGTCTTTAGGCAAAATCATTACTGCCAATTACGTACCAGTTGCTAATTATCACCAGCTGTTTCCTGAATCCGTCAATGCCGTGAAGCTGCTGCAGCCTTCGTTTAAGTCCACTTGATATCACGCTATTTCCTTGTGCTTGTCCCTGTTATCTTTGCCGAAAGATAACTTTTACGGTCATCGTATAGTTCACCCCTCCAGTTTAAGCTGGTTTGTGCGTTGGTGAAACTGTTGAATCTGGTATCAAGTTGGAAATTGTTTGTCACAGCACATCTGTAAATTATTGCAGCCAGTAAAAAACTCGTTTTCGTCAATATATTTATTAATTAACCTGTAATTAGTCTACATATCTGATATAATGGATGTCGCAGTTAATAAGATGTCCCTTTCATTCTTGTTCAACGTAACCCATACTCTATGTGCTAAGTGTCCGTTCAGTGGATTGGAACTCCCCACTTTTGGACTTCGAAGTTGTCATGCTTGTCACCGTGCTGTCGCACATTAGATTATAACTGATATTAATAACTGGATAAGACGGATAGATGTACATAATGAAGCCGCATTTCATTATCTATAGGTTCAAGATTACTGTGTAAATATATTTTATATTTAAGTTAGCAAGAACGCAGTAAAATTAACTCGTTCTTTGAAATTTACTCAGGATCCCAGGTTCCACGTGATTTCTATCATTTAGTCAATTCCAATAAATAATGGCAACGCTTTACAGATGGTGATCGTCAGTGGCCTTCGCTTTCACTTCCTCTTCACTTTGACCGTTGTTCTTCGTGTTTGTCGAACTCCTTCGCAAAGCGATCATAAATTTCCGCGGCCGTTGCATAAAACCGTTGCTGAGCCTTGGCAAGAGCAATGAGGTACTTTTGTATATCTTTCTCGAATTTTACGGTTTTGTCCACAATGCTCAGCACGTCCTTTCTTCTTGCGTCGAAGTTCTCGCGCGCCACTGTTTCCTCCCTCTGAAACAGACCTTTAAAACTATGATCTTATTCACTCATTTCAAAACTGAAGGTGCTATATGCCATTTGGTTTCTATCTGAAATTGTGCTAATCAGTACTTAATGTAAATCTCGCAATCTGTCAATTCTAGTTTTTCTCCTCAGATTACGAATTGTACGATGTACTATCCCGAGATACAGTCAGAGCTTATCCTAGGGGTCATGTCAAGTGGACGAGGGAAACGACAAAAATGCCGGATCGTATAAGTTACTGAAGTACGGTGTAGTGTATACCTTTAAACTGCTATGGTCGCCATGAAAGATTGTCATATACCCTCAAATG